CTGGACTGTTAGATGCTCATCGGACGGCCACAGTTACAACGATAAAACTTTACCTCTGGCTACATATACTGCCAAACTCAGCAGTCTCAAACAAGGTTACCGTACTTTACCTCTTTACGACACCAACGGTGATCAATTCCTCTTCTCCACACTCTTCTGTCGTGTCAAGATTGATCCAGCTACAAGCATTTATGTCAATGCTGAATCAAACGAAAGCGTTGGAGTACTTAAGAGTCTCGGTCGTACCGTTTTCAACCGAACACCTCTTTCACCAAGACCTTCCGTCGACAGCAATCATCAATGATCCCAACTTACTTCATACTTCAACAATATTCGATTTATCTGTACATACTATATCAATTGTAATATATATCATGTGGGGCGTTTGTATCAAAAAGGCGAGATACCATATTACATTTCAATTTCTTTGGACAGAAGCAGTCATCAATTCTTCGGTTCAGCAATTCCGATTTCATATGGCGCATCCAGACGCCTCGAGAGTTTAATCGATCCATGTTCGACTTTGTTTCTTTTCACGCGTTTTCTTTTGAGCGAGGCGCAACTTTTATTTCGGGAGATCAACAAAGGATACCAACTTGAGCATTCTGCGATTTACAATATCACAGCATAAGGATTATGATTTCATTTTGAAAGGGCGCGGGTGGCATTCACATACATAGGGCTGGGATATTAAAAGTGGCTCGCGCTGCGCGTTTTTGCTAGCGATTGCATTTCAACGGGGTCGGGCATCTGCATACTCCACAGTTTGGTGTGAATGATTTATGTCATTCTTCACCAAAAAAACAACTCCACTCATTTAATTTTAGAAATTCTCTTTTGTTTTTCTTCTTCACTCCGGTCACATGGTAGTTAGCGGGCATACTACATCTTGCTTGGGTTTTTTTTTTTTTCTCTTCAAGGGATTCTCCTCACATCAAATATTTCGCGGGTCGAGTTCTTGGGATGGCATGGGACTGGATGGGATGGAACTGGATTGCACGGAAAGGAGCATGGCGGAAGCATATACGAATCTGCTGGACTGGCTCTATGCGTTTTTTTCCCCCCTTTACCTGGAGCTTTATGACGGGATCGTTATTTTGGCGTTTCACATCCTGGGGTTTTGGTATTTTTCATTTGTAAGGGATCCTTTTGCATTCAATGGATGGATGGATGGATGGGATAATTATATGACGGCCTGGTTCTGGGAATTTGCAGTGTGGGGACATTTTCTGTTGTATACACATAAGACAGACTTGATTGTGGATGTGGATGCGGATGACATTAAAGATAGCTTTGACAAGCTGGATCTTAATCTTGATCTTTTCGCTGCGCGTTTTCAGCTTATGTGAGAGAGACCTTTTGTGGTTCGGGAAGGATTTGGGAGGGTTTTATTGTTTGGGTGGTTGATAGAATGTGGATGGGTGGAATTTGATAGAAAGAGAGTGTGTGTGAGAGAGATGGAATGAGATGAGAATATGAAAAGGTGAATTTTCTTTGGGACTTGAGAGATAATTATAAGCGGTTGAGAGAAGTGGGAGAATAAACAATGGAAATCTTTCTGAGCTGTATGATATCTATCTGATGGTGACTTTTGTTGTGTGATTTTGTTGTGCGATTTAATAGTAGTATGGGATGTACTGTAACGTAATGGATAATAGTGTCTATTATACAATAGATGAATGAATCTAAATAGGTAGTTCTTCTTCTTCTTCTTCTTCTTCTTCTTCTTCTTCTTCTTCTTCTTCTTCTTCTTCTTCTTCTTCTTCTACTTGGAAAGGTATTAATAGAAGTAAGACTCATCTTAAAAAATATATATATATATACATATCTGATATTTCGATTTTGCTTAAAATTCTAATGTTATCAGGTAAAAAGTAATCAAATGAGGAAATTTTCTCGATATATAGATACCTATTCAAGATTCCGATATATCTTAGTTTGATATCATTAAATTCTACTATACTGCGCTGTTGTTAGTAACGATTTTCTGATGTTGGTTATATGTATGCTTTTATTTTATTATGATTTCTGATTTCTCTAGAGGCGAGGAGAATTGCTCATGTGGTGTATACTGACTCGGGGTAGATAGGTGGATAGGTGGATGGATATGATGGGTTGGTTGTTCGTGTATGGATGGATGCTTTGGATGGTGTTTCTACGTCGCTAAGTAATTTGATCGATGCTGGGTAGGTATCTTCTGAAGAGAGAGAAAGGGCTGAGAAACTGTTGTGTTTGTATGTGCGTATCCTTACGTGTATATTTACGAATTCTTCACTGTACGAAAGACGAAACGATGTTTGAATAATTTGTAATTTCGATCATGTATGCTGACCCTAATGCTAAATCACAACTCCGAATCAATACGCTCTATCGCCTGTGCACTACCATTCGATTTGAACCTCAAGGACCAAAAACCAAACATCTAACTTCGATACTCTCTCTTCCTTTTGCACCCGCGGGTGTTCGAGGATCTTCAAATGCGGTATGGGGTACTCTGCCACCCTGAACCTCAGTACCAGGCTTCAACGATTCACTATCGAAGCACTCTAGGAACAATCGCTCATCGTTCTGCATTCCAGACAGGTAATGCCATTTTTGTCCCTCGTTGTATCGGATACCCGCTGTTTCCCCAGTTGTGTCTGGATATCGATGTTCGACCGGGATGACATCTTGGTCGAGAGTAGTTGCCGAGCTAGCGAACGCTAGTGGGTTCCCTTGAACAACTCCATTGATTGGCCGCCATACATTTATAATTCTGAATCGTCCTTGAAGCAGTTTCTCTGCTTCTTCGGGCAAATGACGATGTACGCGTTGCTTGGCTGATTTGAGGGTTTGATCGATGTGGACTCTTGCGACGGGACCCCGATGAGCATTGGGATCCGAGCGACGAACAGTGTGGTCAAAAATAAACACCTTGTTCGAGCCGGGGACGTTATCCAAGACTAATTTCTCGACTTCGGGATAGTAGTTTCTTTTGATTGATTCATCGTCTCTGAATTCCCTTTCTGCAGACTCTGGAACCCCGAGGATTACTTCGAATGCATCTTTGTTGAGGTTGTATTGTGATTCTTTACCGCGGATATCGCTGATGGGGACTTGGATGTCAAAATCGCCAAAGTTGCGTTGAGGTTGTCCGTGGGGTGGTTCTTCGACGTAATTGAAAGGGACGGAGCCGTCTTCGGGTGGCCTGAAATAATTGAGGGTGACGATTGTATCGCCGCGAGGGACAAAACTACTCTCTTTGCTTTTGATTTGACCGGCGGCTTCAATCCGTGACGATGGAGAAAGGTTGTGGGCAGGTGTGTTGTGGATAGGTGCGGCGGTTGTCATGATGTTGAATTGTCTATGCGTGCTTTGAGTTCTGGGATGATTCTCAAATGTCGTAAGAGTGACGTAGTCAGGTGTGTTTAGATTGTTTAGCAAGTATAGTTTAACAAATGGATGCGAATGTATGTATATGGAGATGTGTTTGAATTGCTGTGCTGTATTAATATAAGCAAAGAAGATGGATTCATAGCAATGGATATAGATGTATATATATGCAGACGTATATCGTAAGGACAAAGAGTGTGTAACAACAAATTCTGATATTGTAAGCAACGAAGACAGTGCCGTGCTAGCACGTCATTGAGATCTTAGAAATCGAGGGGTGAGATTACTCGACCATATCTTATCACCGTCGAAAAGTGTACGACTCCCTTCCCAAAAGCCGAGGGCTAGATGACTATTCAAGCAGTAGCACGCCATGTGGCAAAGTGGTTTCGGAATACCGCGATATCTCCTTTGGAGTTGGTGAGTGACTAGCCGGAGGTGAGTGATGCAACAAATCGGGTTTGCTGGAACTGAGTAATCAATTATTAGGTAAGCGTGTTAAGTTGGAGCACTAGGAGTATACGCGTAATATTTAGGTTTTTGTTGACAAATAGAATTTAGACCAATCAAAGTTTGAATTATTCAGTTTTATAATTAGTAAGCTAGCCATCCTCGAGCCATCTTCATGATTTACCCCAGATTCAGTTATTACCTGGGTTGCCTGCGAGGTGGGCACTTGGGAAGCTGGAGGGTACCCAGGTAACCTTAGATAGCTGGAGGTAGATACACTTTTACGCTTTGACTTTACAAAGTTGGTAGTTCGTTTATTATACTCCAGTCGCTTGAATAGTCGACTTTTCTATTCCTATATAGCACAACAGCAACAGAGAACCTCAAGACACTGCGTGCAAGGGTGGTGCCTTGACACATTGGAAATCAGTTCGAAGAGTCTCACCATGATTAATGCAAGGTAATTACCGAATGAATCATTGATGTGTAGGTCTAGAGAGACATTCGCGATGAATCTATAGTTCATACATCAATCACCATGCCACTAAGCTACCTTTGATAACGAGGTATCTACGCATAGTAGACAAGAACACGGGCATTGCCAAGGCATTATGAGGGGTAATGAAGGCAGAAACACGGTGTTAATCCAGCCTACCTATCTAGATGATAACAAAAGCCCTTCGTTGCTAATAAGCTCTGAAACTCTTGATGTATGTTTGCCTGAGTTCACTGAAACTCATGAAGACGAACAATTCTTGGTGTATTTAGTCAAGTTCTAGTACAGTCACTAAAGTATATGCTTCCCTAAATAACAGAAATTAGATGGTAGTGCAGCATCATAAAAGTTTTGGTCCAACGATGATTCCAACGTTGTGTTTCAAGGATGAGTGATTACTAAGCGCACCCACTCATCAACCAATAAGATTGTGTTCCTAAATTGCCTGTAAATTAAGTTTACTTCAATGTAAACAAACCGCATCGTCGCAACTCAAATATTCAAAAGATTATAGAGACATCATTTTGCGACAATATTCACAACGAATTATACACGCCCCCGCATAACATGAAATTATTGGATTAATTTGACAGTGAATGATCTTCATATATCTATCTCCATTAGAACATAGAAGCAGAGGATTTTCATTTATTTATCGCGCTCTTGCGCATTCATTGTTATGATGGTCCAATACGGCATGGATGAAGCCTTGCTATCTTCCCCAGATCCCCTCGCCGACTCCTTGACATACCAGGCACCACCGAGTACGAAACGACGAAAGACTCCCTCATCGCGTTTGTCACTGCCATTACCAGCCAGTTCTCCGAAAAAACAAATCTTTGAATTGGATGTGGGAAATACATTATCACCACAAAAAATCAGAGTTACAGTAGAAGCAGAAGATTCGGACAGCGAGGACGATCATGCGAACCTCAGACCTCATAATTTCAGTTCACCTACACCTGCGCCGGTACCCCGTCGAATAGAGCGAACGACGACGACAACAGTGCCATTACGAGGGCTTTCGGACTCCGAAAATGATAATAGCATTCGATATGAGGTAACACCGAAGAGGCCCAGAGGTCGTCCAAGGAAATCAAATACTCCGGTCCAAAAACAAGGCACTTTGAATCGAGTCGGAAAGCGTGGACGAAAAAGTGTTGGAGGGGGGGTAGACAACCAAAGCCAAGATGCCAACGACGAAGAAGTCTCGGCGGGAAATTCTAGATCACGATCAAAGTCAGCAAAAGTTATCAAAAAGGCGACACCGCGTAAGAGGAAAGCTAGTTCGGATTTGGTCCCATCGAGTGTGGTTAAGAGAGGTCGTGGTAGGCCAAGGTCTCGGCTGCGAGAAGAAATACGACTATCAGACGGAAGTGATGTGGTAGAGCAAGCACAGACTCCCAATGCCGAGCCTAAGGTGGTAGAGGCTGACATTCATGAGGGATTGATGCCGGAAGAGATTGATCTTTTGGCAACCATTGATGCCAATTCGGAAAGTCCAATTTCCCAGTACCCCGCCTATCAATCCACATCGACTTTCCCAAGTAGTGAAGATGCTGAAGAGGATGTTGTCATTGCAAGATTTCACCCTGGAGAAGAAACGCCCCCAACAACAGGTTGGTCAAGCGTTTTGGAGACATCTCAAATGCCAAGTTCGTCAAATAGGGCACAAGAGGAAACGAGTCCTCTGAGTGAAAGTTTGAGAAATGGTGCTCCATCTCTGAAATCAAACGGTCCCATCGAAGATGATGACGACAACGGCGATTATGGAGGCGATGGTTTTGATGATGAGACGGATGAAGATTTTGATGAAACGCGTGAGATAGGACAATTTTCCGACGGAAAAGTGGATAATGCTACTGAAGATATGCAAGAAGAGGATTTTGAAGATGAGATGGACGATGATATGGATCATAGACCCGAGTTTGACACTATCATGGAGAGTGAAGGATTTAGTCTGATATCGCTTGATTCTGTACCGTCGTTGAGGAAACCGTTGAACGGAGTACTCCCAGATGAGGGGCAAAACTCGGCCGCACGTCCTCAGAATAAAAATATTCTTTCAGTCCAAAATACCGTACAGCACAACTCATTTTCGAGTGTAGCACCAGAGATCCTTGAGGCTGCAACACCAGGCAAGAAACTTAAGAATCCTCACATTTTCCGCGTCCAGGAAGCTCGAGTTGATGATTCATTTTCAAGCATACCACCCGAGATTCTCGAGGCCGCAACCCCAGCCCCAGCGCGAAAAAGGGGCGTTGAGATGTCATATCCAGGAAGTTCCGCGGTAGTTGGAGAAAATGTAGCCGGTTATGCCGATAGCAGCCTGTCGGATACTCGTATCAAGCCTCCTAAAACAGCTGGAGGATTAAGCGAGGATTCATCGTCTACCAAGCATGCAGCTCCACTTGACGCTGCCACCCCACGTTTAATGCGCAAAGCACCGCTTCGGCCGAGTTCAACAAAGAAGTTGGTACCCGATTCTAAGACAAATTCCAAGCTGTCACAAGATCGCGCGAAATCATTACATCTTGCAACATCGCCAAAGCCATCCAAATCGTCCTCGCCACCAACGAAAGAATCTAAGCAGTCAACTTCGATAAAAAACAACGGGGGCAAATTAACAGGAAGTCAAGATACTGAAAACCTCGCTGAAGAATCCTTCATCAACTCGCAAATCCATTCCTCGCCGCCTGCAATTGCACCACGCAGATCTACATATACAGCACATGTTCAACAGCAACGGCAAACAAACCTTAAGCTGACACAGACTCCAGCTATTGTGTTCTCATCCCCCACATTGCCACCACCTATCCAGCCACCAAGGCAACCATCCGAGAGGCCAGAATCTTCAAACACAAATGCGTCATCACCAGCTGAAAAAGCTGGCCGTATTTTGCAAGATATTGTTATACCATCATCATTGCCCAGAAGTAGATCCGAGAGTCTAGCTAGCCCATTTAAGAGTCCAGCAACAGGGAGAAGATCTAGCTCAAGCGCATATCCAGATACCAATATTAGTCGTTCTGTGCCCGCTGAGCAGCCTCAAACGTCGCTGCCAAAACTAGATCATAATGGAGACTTGGGTTCGAAACATTCGCGAAGAAGAAGCTGGAGTAGGCCTGTTCTCGACGAGGACCCATTTGTTGGAAATGGAGCGGCGCAAAGACGTCCATCTATGGATAAATCACAAAATGTCAATCTTGAGCTACCTAGTAGCCGTCGCATGTCTGTTTCTATAAATGCGGCGGTCATTCCTCAACACGAGTCGTCAAGAACCATCAATTCTATGAATTCGCAGCTTGAAGAGACTGGCCGCAACGGAGCTGTTGAAAAACCAGTGCCGTCGTCATCGTCATTGGAGAAAAAGCCCGTGGAGACTAAAAGAACTTTGAGTAGCTTACAAGAGAAATGGGCAGCAGAACGAGCTGCGATAAGTAAACAAATCTCTACAGCCAGTGCCGATGAAGTTATGGTTCTAAGTTCCGATGATGATGGCGATGGAGACGAAGACGATGATTACGATGATAACGATCTGGTTGCAGATGAAGAACAGGAAAGTTTACCCGGAAAGATGCGTGTCAATCTTGAAGACGATGATAATGCCGACAATAGTGTCGATAATCATGTAGAAGAATTTGAAGACGATGAAAGCTTTGGACTCTTACTGGAGACCCTAGATGCTTCCAACCAGGAAAATCAGCTTCACTCTGACAAATCCGACCACGCGGAACGACCTAAACGAAGTAAAATTCCTAGCCCGTGGAGAACAAATAGCAAGCGTTTAGTGTATAGCGATGAGCTTGCTAGCCTATTACCTGACCATGACGCAGAAGCCCCCATGGTCGAAGAGCCCTCGCCAAAAAGCGTTTCGAAGCAGGCTGATGTATCGAAAAGCTCTCCAAAAAATCCTCAACCTGAAAGTGACTCAACCCTTGACTTGTCTGGGTGGCAGATACCACAGAAGCAGAATTTTCAGCCAAAGATTCGTAGCCTAGGTAATACGAAGCCTGATATATCTGCACTTCTACGATCATCGCCATTTGGCGGTCTACCAACTCTTTCTAATAGAAAAGGGCCGAGCGCTGAAGGACGATCATCGAAAGAGTTACCATCTCCTCGGGCGTCACACTTCGACCCTCCTCAGGACAGTTTATCTGGTGATACCGAGGAAGAAACGCGCTCATTTGCTCCCATTCCCCAAAAAGTAGGATTCCAACCTCGAGTTCGTAAGAACGGTGATGCGCCAACTGCACCCATCTCTCAATCAATAAGGGGCATTTTTGGAAAATTTGGATCCACAAGGACCAATCTGCCAACCCCAGAAACATCATCATCGTCCTTAGTCGGTGCTCTGACAAACACATCGCCAAGCAGGAGCAACAAGCTCAAAGTTCCTGCGATCCAACCTGACCCTGCCCAGAGTTCGTCTTCCGAACTTTCAGTACCTAACACATCCGCGCCCGTCAAAACAACAGAAAATCGACAGCTTCAAAATCCTAAGCCAAAATGGACCCAACATCGTCTCGAAGCTCCCATTCCTCCTTCCCCTACAAAATCTATACTTCGCTCGCCTCTACGCTCTACTGCCCCGCCGTCTCAACCTTCCCCTAGCAAGAACGTCGTCTTCGCTTCCTCCTCTCCACAACCCAGTTCTCCCATAAACCCCCAACTTTCTCCCACACACTGGACACGCGATCACTGGCTTCTTCTCGACTCCATTCTACAAACCTGGAAGCCGGAGAATCAGAACCACGATGCCTCGGATTCCGAGGTCAATTCAACTGGATCTTCCAACTCTAAATATGGAAGAAGAAATTCCACAAGAGTTATTAGTGGACTATTGGGAAAGATAGTAAATCTCAAAGATAAAGGAGTCGGGATTGGCGAGGGAGGGGTCAGGGTCTATAAAAATGGGAATAAAGAGGGAAAAGAAATCGGGAATGAGAAGATGAGATTGGAACAGTGGCATTTAGAAGCGGTGGATGAGTTTAGGGGGGAAGTTCCAGGGTGGGACGAGGCAGTTGTAGCAAAGAGGGTTTTTGCGCTACTAATAGGAGAGGAGAGGAGGCGGAAGGGGGTTAGTTCTTAATGATTGTCGATACTGTCGTTGCGGGTGAATGGGAAAGTGTGGTTTGATCAAAGCTATGGTTGAGCTTTGGTCAATGGGCATGGGATTCTGGGAGACGGGTGCATAATTGGATAAATCATATCACCCACCTCGACTTTCTTTTGTTCTATTCTGTAAATATGTACGTGTGGGTTTTTTAGGTTTCTGGAACACATTATGGTTCTTGTATACCTTGTATTTGGAGCTGTCTGAAGCGAGCGAGCGCGCTCATCATTTGGAGCACTTTGGAGTCAAGGAATGTTTGGATGGAGGGATACCTGGGTAGCATAAGCATAGCGTGCATGTATCATTTTGGGGGCGAAACGTGTGGACTGTAAAAAGCAAAATGAGTTTGCTGGCACTTCTTTTGGCTGTTTTGGGTACAGAGTTTTCGCTCAGGAGTATCACGTGTATTATTGCAAGAAGCCATATTATGATAGGATGAAAGAGAATCGAAGAAATTGGACACCAAGAGAGAATCTGCTGTGCATTTTTTGGTGGCATCACTTGTATTTGTGTTCACTTTTATTATTCACGAATGGAAATGCGTTCGAATGTTGGAACCGAGAATTAAAAGCCATTTCATATCATATCATATCATTTGTCTTTACGCCTCTATGATACAAGCATGCATTATCTCCTCATCTAGCCTTCCAGCCGCCAGCCTACTCAAGCATACTCGCTTGGTTGGTATAAAGCACATCGACCACACTGCTCAATTTCTCGATCGTTGCCAATGCAGCATCATATCCTACATCTCTCTCCGTCTCATCGTAAATAATCAGACATCCAGCTCCTTGATCCAATACTCCAATAATCACCTTGTCGAGAATCATCTGTGATAGCTTTCTCTCCACTTGTTGTGTATCAAGACCGACCATCTTGGCAATATGGGCAATTTCGACGCGTGAAAAGGGCTCGATTACTTTGATTAGATTCTGCTCCAACATGGCATCGTAGAGACGACGGAGATGGTTGCGGATGAAGGCATCAGAGCCGAGTTCATGACGGTAATCGCCAAGTGCCTTTTCGTATTCTTCTAGAGAACGGTTGGAGTGGGCACGAGCGACGGCTTTCATGGCTTCGAGATTCTTGCCTGCATATTTGATGGCTTGTTTGGAGGTCATGAGTTGGTTGACATCGTCGGCAAGGTTGAGCATAATTTTGCAAAGAAGCATATATTGAAGTGCTGCAGTAGCTTTCTCCGGCTCATCTTGTGTGTGGTATCCATCTAACGCTTCGATAAAATAGGAGAATGCGGTATTGAAGTCTTTGTCCTCGGCGTGGAGTTTTCCAGATTGCATATCGAGGCCGGCTTGGAGAAGAGGGGGGGTATACACGGATGCAGCGCTTGTTCTGGCAGCGGTAAGTGCGGCGCGTCCTTTGGCTGTGTTTCCTAAAGCATGGTAAACGCGGGATTCCAGAAGTTGAACTTCGACGAGGACAAGCTTATCATCGAGACGCTTGAGCTCGCGGAGGAGGCTGTTGATGAGGGTAAGAGCATCGTAGTAGTCTTGCTTGATCATGTAAAGGCTGACAAGACGGGTTTCGAGGTTCTGTCTTAGGAAGCCACGACGTTCGGATGTGGCCCATTCGATGCATGATTTTGTGACGGTAATTTGGGTATCTGTTGTGTTTGGAATGGCATTGAATAGATCCAGAAGTTGTCGCACTGGAGTAAAAGCTTATTAGCAGAATCCTAACAATACCATGATATAGAGCACTATTTGGCAGGCATAGAAATCCCCAATCTTCTTACCTAGCTTTGCTGTTTTAGCTTTTGCGAATGATGATAATACTGTCCGGCTTGTTGTGATCAGATCTACCAACTCATTTGCTTTTCTATACAGAAATCAGTGACTACCCCAAATTTAAGTAAGCTCTGGGTTATATGCTGCTCACTTTTCATCTCGATACAATTCTCCCAAGCTCACCAACGCAGTTTCATATTCTCGAACAGAAGCTTCTGATGTTACTGAAGGTGGTTTGGAGATGATGTCCTTGTATTCTGCCTCTGCTTTTCTTGGATCTGTCTTTGCCAACCTTTGGGCTTCTTGTATCCTTAATGATTCTGCTGGTGCCATATTTGATAATTGTAGAGAATTAAATTTGGGTAGAGTTGTGAAGTTGTGTTTGATGTTTTGAAGGGAATCGCATTTGTAGGTAAACTCGCCATTACGATGCCACTAGGAACCTGGAGCTTGTGGATACTGCGCTAAAAAGCAACACCCCTGCAAAAAATTATTTAGCTGGATTTTTATCATCACCTCAATATTTCTTTGCGATAACTTCAACCAGGTATAACTTTCAAATTTTCAACAATGACAACAACACACTGATTTTAATATGGCAAGTTAAGATTCTAATCAACCATTAATCTGTACACTTTGCTAATTCAGCTACTCTACAGAAGATCAAAGCACTCAGTCGGGCGTCCATTCAGGCCCCAGGGTCTGAAGCCAAACAGCCCCGCAACCTTGGTATGTATAATTGACTCTAGAGAGGACACTGGGAGGCAGATATTGATACTTTCTGTAGATCCAGCATTACATCCATTCGAGAGAGCCCGAGAATACACCCGCGCCCTCAATGCCACAAAAATGGAAAGGATGTTCGCCGCCCCTTTCATCGCGCAATTAGGAAAAGGACATGTCGATGGAGTTTACACAATGGCAAAAGATCCCAATGCTCTCGAGCGTTTTGCAAGTGGTAGTGGCGATGGTGTTGTGAAGGTATGGGATTTGACCTCTCGGGATGAGGTATGGCAGACTAGTGCGCATGAGAATATTATCAAAGGCATGAGTTGGACGAGGGACCAGAAACTTCTAACTTGCGCAAGTGATCGATCGATCAAACTTTTCGACCCCTACAATACAACTACTGGATCTGCGCCCGTGGCAACATGGTTGGGAACCAATGCATTTACAAGTTTATCACATCACCGTTCGAATAACGCATTCGCAGCGGCATCTGGAGTCATCTCGATATACGATCTTGAAAAACAAAATGCGCCACCCGATGTTTTGAAATGGCCAAATTCGACTGATACTATTACTAACGTAGCATTTAATCAGGTTGAAACCTCTATACTTGCTTCCACCGCTACTGATAGGTCGGTCGTATTATATGATCTTCGGACTGGACTTCCCATTCACAAAACGCTACTCAATTTTGCCTCGAATGCTATATCATGGAATCCTATGGAAGCATTCAATTTCGCGGTAGCCAATGAAGATCACAATGTCTATATCTTCGATATGAGAAAGATGGAGAGAGCATTGAATGTGTTAAAGGGTCATGTTGCTGCTTGCATGGATGTAGAATTCAGCCCAACTGGTGAAGAGCTCGTTACAGCATCATACGACAGGACAGTCAGGCTGTGGAGCCGGACCAAGGGGCACTCGAGAGACATTTACCACACCAAGCGTATGCAGAGGGTCTTTTCGGCAAGATGGACACCGGATTCTAAGTTCATTCTTTCTGGTTCGGATGATGGCAACATTCGATTATGGAGAGCCAATGCTTCCAAGCGAGAAGGCATTAAATCGGCGAAACAGCGGACTGCTCTGGAATATAACGAGGCATTGTCGGAGCGATATGCTCATATGCCCGAGATTAGGCGCATCAAACGTCACAGACATGTTCCTAAGGTCATTAAGAAAGCTGGAGAGATAAAATCCGAGGAACTCAAGGCCATTAAACGCAGGCAAGAGAATGAACGCAAACATACTAAGAAGCAATTTTCGAAGAGACGAGCAGAAAGAGAGAAAATGGTTTTGGCAAACGAAAATTAATATTATGTATGATTGTCTAGGACACACTATCTTTGGGTGCGGAGTCAAGGTAACTGGTGGCATTCGCGAGGCGTTTAGAGATTATGGCTGGTTTTGGAATACCACACATTACATTGATTGACTTGAAGGTAGAAAATGGAAATGTGATGATGAATTTTTATCGCTAATTCAGGTGCCCTGCACCTCTGTCACTTATGCTCTCTGAATGAACAAAATGCTAACAGAGCAAGTGCTCATGACGTCTTTTCTGATGTTACCATATGCTAAAATCAACAGTTGAATTAAGTAAGATGACACTATCTTATTTGAATCCCATTAGTTTTAACACAAGCTTGTGAAAAGATGATATCGAGCTCTTCAACACGTATTATGAGCTTCAAATCAGTATTGTAGTCCTGTTACTTTTTTGGGTGGTATCACATTGACTAAAGCTGTCTAGGATGGTATCTTAATCCGCCCGGAACTCTACTCTGGAAAAACCCTTCAGTATCATACCTCTTGCAATGCACAAGTTATATACCATCACATCCCCATATCAATATATCAAATTTTGACATTCAGCCAGAAAATTGAACACACTTAGGGCGATTATAAACGCAACGTCTGACGCCCAGCTGCGGTTCTTTCATACTGAATACAAATCTTCTCGTAAGTAAAAGGGGAGACAGCGATTGTCAGGAAAGCAGTGAAATCGATATTCGAAGAAGCTCTTATGTTGTTGGTGCAGGTAGCATGATTAGTAACGCTACTAATAACTATCAGGATGGCGAAGGTGCTACTTCGCTGAAATCATGTTCGACGCTTGAATCGGATGCTCGTCCAGGAGGTAAAGATTTTGATGACACTCTGGTTCCTTCCAAATCCTTTTTAAACCATTCTCTTCATTTGACACTGCGAGCCTTCAGTGCTCATGATCTTCCAGCACTAACGGCCGCCATGGTTCCAGCTAAATCACACACTGTCATCCCCACAGGTGTTGATAACTACTAGCATACAATTTCCGACATCGATTCTCCAATACAGCGAATTGGAGACTTGAAGGCTTGGAAATGAAGAGTCATCAACTTTTCAGCTTATTTTGTAATTCTCTTCTGTTCTAGGTGTGGTGGCTTTGCCTGTGCTCAATGGTCTCAGTGTCTGATATCGGTGTAAGACGTTCCATTCCTCCAAATGTACATTGGTAAAAAAATGATTCATCCGACAGAAAGGAAAGTTCCTTGGTATTCCAAAGTTGACTGTGTCATAACGCCACAGTTCTACTCAACGCCTCAAAAACAAAGGAATTTCAACGTGATGGTACCTCTATAGAAGATTTCCTTGTTTGAAGTTTCATCCATTTATATGTATCTCGTACTGTCTCATGTTTCGTTTGCTGACGGCTAGTCTTTATGTCTGGTGTCCGACTTAATGTTTCGTGATAGAACTTTTATGTTTGAGAAGGCTTCGTATTTGAGCTCTTGACCTGGATATCTTGCTGAGATGAGGAGCTCATGGCACAAAGTTTTGCGCACTCTCCGGCTCGAGCATTCCAATTTTGCATCTCTACCCTAGTCTGATATAGGCCGCGAGACTTGGGGTTCGTTCAGTGTCTTCGAACCTTTGTTCTTTATGGCAATAACGTTGAATCCTATCGTTTGAAGTAGAGACGGGTTCAGATGATGTGTATGATTAATTTTCAAAAATTTGAGTATTGTAAGTAGTCCCAGTTGATTGTCTTTATCGTGACCTCTCTAAACCCTCAATGATATCTATATATATTGCTTGAGCCCGGCTCTCGAAATGAACAAACAGCAACGCATCTGTCCACTTCAATACTCAGGTGATCGAACAAATCTTCCTAAGCGTCTCAAGTTCCCCCGTTTGTATGTATTCATCACTTGCCATTATGGCCCTCCAAATTCCCTTTCGTCTTGTAGCTAATCATCGAGCTAGCTCAAAATTCAGGAATCCCTACGACATCGATGTTATCCATTCATCATCCAGACAGTCGAGTATCAGGTTCCGCTTGGTATATTACCAATCTCTTCACACGCACTATGTGGTGTCCTATCAATGAGCGGAACAATATGTCAAAACGTGCTCGCTGCGAAACTTGCGATGCATTGCTCTCCACTAAAGATTACGTCGAATATTACATCGTCACAAATAAGTTGGGAAGCACAACAGCAATTGCACCAATTGAGCATTATATTGGAACTTCTGAAGAACAAGAAGTTGCACGTATTCCTGATGGAAAGATGAAAGATGTGGTTATTCAGATTCGATTGTTTGGCTTTAGAGCATTAATCGTTATCGCGGAGAACTGTGGAAAGAAGGCTTGTCGCATGACCCCTAGTTGTGAACATCGCAGTGTCAAGATTTCTTTCGCAGAGAAAAATCCTGATGATATGGGGGGACGTTACAAGGCTACTGAGACTGCCGTCTTCACCCTAAAAAAATTTGTCGAGGCGGCAAGTTTGATGGTACGAAGTTTGGATTCTTAAGGGCAAGATGCGGTGGGAAATGTATGGTTCAGTGAAGGAAATCCAGTAGATGCGCTTTAATTTGTTAGATGGATATTGCAATGGTAAATTGAGAAGTTGAAGTGGAAATTTCATAGGATAAGTTAATCATTTTGGGGGACACGGCATGGGAGATTAATCGCGTAATAAAGGGATTTCATTTTAGAGACGTGCTGGCTTGCTAAATGGATAACATAATGGCAGATTGGATTTATAGTAGATTTTTGTTTGGCATTTCGCAGTGTTAGTAATTTGTTGTAAGGATCAAAAACTTTTTTTTTTGGAAGCTATATACCAACAGCTAGAAAATTACAATTTTCGTGTATACAATTTGATGACTTTAAAGGGGAAAAAACTGCGCAACTTTAATTACAAACTTGTTAATAGAGAGCGGCAACAATAAAGAATAATTCACCCGCTATACATAATAAATAACTATAGGATATCATCAGTCGAGTTCCAGCTGTTCGAGATCATCATCCAAGTTTCCAGGCCTTTGACGTTCACCGCCCGACCCCCTTTGTATCTTTCCAGTCAAGAAAATATCCTGCTCGTCTGGGCTTAGCTTGTCGAAGGTCAGCATGATAGCTGCTCTTTTGGCTTCCTCCTTTACCTCCTTTTTGCGTCTTTCAGCAAGGTAACCCGCCGACAAATCCTTATCATTAAGATAACGTCGGTAATTGGTGCAATGCCAATACAGATACCTATCGTATTCTTCATGCTCGTACTTAGGTACCTCTTTGTATGAGGGCTCCCCAACATATTTATTATACATGCGCATGAAGGCTAACACATCGTCAGGAATATCCACATCGATACCGAGCCGCATCATCTGCTCTGTAACAACCCAATCCCATGTAAGTTCGTCTGGATGGTCTCGAATAAAATTCAAACTGGACTCACGTGTCCCACTATGCCACTCACTCCATTCCCACCATTCTGGACGATAGCCTCCATGCTCCCAATCTATGATAGCGGTAACATGTCCATCTTTTACCATAATGTTAGATGGGTCGAGATCACCATGAGAGAGTACATATTTTGCTCCTTCTTTGATGGGATAACTCTCCTTGAACCTCCTTATCGTTTCCCGCGGGATGCTGGAGCGGTTACGAATACGGGGTTCTGTACGTGCCCACCATTCTTCTCGATCGGTAGTCATCAGATCTATAGCGTGATCTGAAGCTCCAAAATCTTGATCTCTGATCGGCTGACCATCTGGAGCTTCCGGTTTTGTCGACGTAAATTTGCGTGCTTCCGCCAGATACTCTGCTATTTCCGTGCCGATTGTGCGATGCTGCTCTAAAGTGAAATCACGCTGAGCGGCCCGGAGTGTTGTGCCAGGGACTCTCTCCATCAATCGCCAGTAGCTGGTGCTATCTTCCCAGCCACGCATATCTTTTGCTACAGGAACGTTTGAATTCTCGCTCAAGAGTTTGCTTACTGCATAGTCCGAATTTGGTCTCGTGGGTTCTCCCTGTGGGTGTTTTGGGAGTTCCTTCAAGAAGTACTTTTCACCCAGAGACCACATACCCCTAGAGGAATTCATGGAGACCTTTACATGACTGACATACCCATTATGTTCCTGTAAACTGGAGCTCAATCCACAGACGTGACAAATCAAGAAGTCTGGACTTTTCGGACGGTGGAGCTTGAGCTCTTCTTGTGTCGTTCCCTCGAAAGGTTTATATAAAGACATTATTCTTATAGCTAGTGACACAGTTCAACATAAATTGCGACCTATAAAGTAGCTGATTGGACTTTGAGATGTTTTGACAGGTTGTGTTGCGGGGGAAGTAGGAAGTATAACACACTCATATAGAGAAATGAAAACAAAGAAATGAAATTTAAAAGTACAAAACTGCTTTTGTACTGGATAATACAAAGAATGAGATTGATATATTTCAGCTCTCTTTAATCCTAAATCCGTTTCTGTAATAGAGAGGATGAGAAACTTAAGTTAATATATTCCAGCTCTCTTTGTTAAATACATTAACAATTAGTTTTTATTACTCAATGGCCTAAGCCGTCAAAGCCAATTCTACATTCCATTGACTACAGAAATGTGGATCAGGGAATGATTTATCCTGCATGTACACTAGCTAGCATCAGTAATCAAGAGGCACATACATCTTCTCACGATTCCATTAATCTTTCAATCTTGCTAGTGAGGTCTCCTCTGTCCGGGAGCCTTTTGTGTCTCTTGCGGGGTTGCAAGCTTAACATTACATAAATCTAATCCTGTTCATTTCAAATCTTTGCCTCGGGAATCCAGATCTTAGTTCGTTTTCAATAATATTTTCATCAAATACAACGATCTATAAAGATTTAAAAGATATATAAAATCGGAATATTCGGAGAACTTGTAGTTCTCGAAGAATACAATTTTCATTGAAATATATTAGAAACATTAAATTAGGTATGCAGGAGGATTTCCTGAGATTCTCGTACTAATATGGCAGTCATCACACTAAAAATCTCCGTATACCGTCAACAAACGAAGATGAGAACTAGGAGGCCAAAGACGATTTTCAGAATAGTGGTTCTGACATCATGATGATTTCGATGCTCAAGATGCCGATATACCACTGGAAGCTCAATCAAGACATATATCTGGGAATGGCCTCCTGTCGGTTTATTTTCCACCTGTTACTAGCATATTCTTACGCGAATTTTCGAGAACGATTTATTATCATGGAATTTGGAGACGATAAGGATGAATGCTATCTTGGTGAACGACCTGCACTTGCATCTTTATGAGTTATCTGTGTCCAAATATACTATGTGAAGATCAAATGGGTCGAGACAGAAGGCATGATGTGCATATCTGGAAATTGTGCCTAAGTGCTTGACACGGCTTCTTGTTCAAGGGCAGTTGAGGGAAACAGAAACATTCAAACACCTTTCTTGATCAGTTCGTTCGCAACAACGTGAAATAGTGACAACAGTTCCATGGTCTAGCTAACTTACGTATATAAAAGTGAAACAAGTCCTGTCACGAATATCAATCAATCTAAATGCATCGAAGCAGCACTTACCTGATACACATATTTTAGGACTACAGTATGCAAGGCTTTTTTTCGGTTGATGAATTATGGTGAGATACACCTTTTCTTTGCGAACGATGTGATCATGTTTCTCTCTCCACCAATCTAAACCGCTCAAGCATTTCCTTTCCAAATTATAGGAATCGTAAGACCCTTCCATCTGAAGTTGGCTGTTTCTGCTCCCATCTTGGAGTGCCCATTACTAGCCAAGCTCTCCTCTGCCGTTTTACCGTGACACATAAAGCTTTTCCATCCTTCCATGTCCTTTGTTGTAAGAAAATCCTAGCTAGGGTCAACATTGATAAATAGGACCAACAATAGGCGACCGAAATGCCGGAATGTAATTCTTAAGAGCTTCTTTTCTAGAAAGCTGACAGGCTTGTAGCAGGCCGCGCAAGATCGTAGCATGCTTTGGCTTTGTATTGTATTAGATTCTGGCGAGAAAGCCAGGAAAACGCTTCGCACATATTGCAGGTCTGGTGATGACAGTTCGTGGCTCACAGTCAATTAAGGCGTACTTTCAAATCATGACTTATAACTCTTTAGGTAGCTGTAGAAAAAATTTGAATTTTCGGTATGACTGGGGAGGGAACTGCAATGCGAGTTGTCTCATCGCGTTGAAGCGTTTCGGCTGAATTTGGAGATAAAATTTTGTTGCATAGAAAGTTCTCCCGTCCTGCTGTTTGATATACCCAACAAAAGGGGATCACAGGAAGTTCGCCCATTTGATCAGGTGTTGGAATAAGATTACAGGAAGTACTATTGCATGTAATAACACAAAGACCAACTGACCCAAAGAGGTGAAGTGGCTAGTATAGATTCGCATACGGCTGATTGCATTCTCCACTTGCGAAGAACGAGGCTGGCTCCGATACAGCAACAACATCACATTCCTCTATCTGCCTGGTACTAGATGAGATAGTATCTAAAAAAAGTAAGGTTTCTTAAAGATGAGCTTTTATATCGTTCTTGGATAGCGTCAAGCACTATCATATTCTGTCCAGAAACGTGTTGTGCAATACTTCGGACTGAAACCTGACAATTGAAAGCTTCAAATCTCCAGATAATTTGAATTGATTGATGAATCTGGATCATTGGATTGACGTCTGCATAGTCTGCACAGTCTGCACAGCTTGTGGCTTTTAGATACAACCAACCTATTCAATCTATGAATTCAGATTACCAAACACCCCTGTCCAAGACCAGCCCATTTTCCGATAAAGATAGTCACTTTGAGCATGTATTATTCGAAAATAAGATCGAATGTTTGAAAGTTACACTGTAGGAAAAATTTAGATGCAGTATTGGTAGGATATCCACAGGGTATTTACATCCATGATGTATGTAGCATATGGAAACGAGCCAATTGACTTTCTGTCAATCTTTGAAAATTGAGGATTATGTATCCTCACCCGTGTGGTCAAAACTCGAGATTAGGCACTGTAGCTCGTTGGCAATTCGCCGAAAGCACGCAAAGAGCATTGATAGCATTTAGGAGAGAAGTTGTCGGGTTACAGATAGGGTATTTGAGCTAGGCAAGAGAAGTGATGATATGATCTTTTGAAGCAATCTTTCAAGGAGAGATCCAGTGGCATGTGGAATACTGGCCTGTCATACTGTTGAAGGCAGAACGCTGAAGTGTTCTTAGTACACATATGAGTATCCCAGTTCTAGCTATATGACTTTACCTACATTTAAGTAGAATATGCATGAGTGTCGAAAGGATCGGGAGAGCTATCCCGTTGTGTTGATGTTCAAATAAATAGCACTAGCCATTGTTTAGATTGTGTACTGGTAGCGAGTGAGGTGATAAACAATGGAATGCCAACACTTTGGCAAACTGCACTTGTGAAGATCAGTCAAGTTACGTGAGTGATGTGAGCACTGTTGGAGAAGTGGTTAGTTGGTTAGTTGCATGCTTTCAGGCGACGACAATATTTGAAAATCTAAAATTGGTCTGTGCTCAATAAATTTGTCGAGACGCGATATCAGCGCGCAGAGTAGTGGTAACTTATTCAAACGCCACTACAACATTCCAGCAGACAGGAAAACGTTGTGTTAATTTTATTCTGGCCCTCCACCCTGTACCCTTTACAGCAGATATACAAGAAAATTTCCAATATGCAGGCGCCTGTGGTAGTAATGAGTAAGTTTCGAAGGCTTTGGAGCTCTTCTGCCCACTACCCCTCATCCTTAAGAAACGACCAGAACGCTGACTATAGCTTCTAGACACCCAGAGTGGTGATAGACAAACTGGTCGAAAAGCTCAGATGTCGAACATCACCGCAGCCAAAACGTAGGAGCTCTTCACAGCACATACCGAGCACCCCGCCATTTCAACAAACCAGAACTGACATATAAATAGCGTCGCAGATATTATTCGATCATGTTTGGGCCCAAAAGCTATGCTAAAGATGTTGTTGGATCCTATGGGCGGTATTGTTTTGACAAATGACGGACATGCCATTCTCAGAGAAATTGAAGTGTCGCATCCTGCAGCGAAGAGCATGATTGAGTTGAGCAGAACACAAGATGAGGAAGTTGGAGATGGAACTACTAGTGTTATTATTCTTGGTATGAAAAGGTTTCAGGAACTTGTAAGAAACGGGACTGACAATTTCTAGCTGGTGAAATGTTGGCACAATCTCTTCCACAATTAGAAAGAAACATCCACCCTGTCGTTATTATTTCCGCTTTCAAGGCCGCACTGAAAGACGCTCTCGAGATCATTGAAGAAATTTCCCTCCCAGTCGATATCAACGATGATAAAGCCATGTATCAACTCATCTCATCCTCAATCGGCACAAAATTCGTTTCTAGATGGTCTGAACTCATGTGCAGCTTAGCACTCAAGGCCGTACGAACGGTAACTCACGAGATCGGAGGTGGCAAGAAAGAGGTTGACATCAAGCGCTATGCAAGAGTTGAAAAGATTCCAGGTGGAGAGATCGAGGACAGCAGAGTTTTGGACGGTGTTATGCTCAATAAAGATATTACCCACCCAAAGATGAGAAGGAGAATCGAGAACCCCAGAATTATCCTATTAGATTGTACATTGGAATACAAGAAGGGAGAATCACAGACGAACATTGAGATCAGCAAAGAGGACGATTGGAACAAGATTTTGCAGATTGAGGAGGAGCAGGTCAAGCTTATGTGCGATTCTATTCTTGCTCTTAAGCCAGATTTGGTCATCACTGAGAAGGGTGTCTCTGGTATGTTGACTGCTCTCATTATAGTTTGTTTTGCTAAACCATTCTAGATCTTGCACAACATTACCTGATGAAAGGAAACGTTACTGCACTCCGTCGTGTCCGAAAAACAGATAACAACAGAATAGCTCGTGCAACTGGCGCCACTGTTGTCAATAGAGTAGACGATCTCCAGGAATCTGATGTTGGAACCCAATGTGGCCTTTTCGAGATTGAGAAGATTGGTGATGAATACTTCACGTTTTTGACTAAATGCGAATCGCCAAAGGCATGCACTATCTTACTGAGAGGTCCATCCAAAGATATCTTAAATGAGATTGACAGAAACTTGGCTGATGCTATGGCCGTTGCACGAAATGTCATGTTTCACCCCAGATTATCACCTGGAGGAGGTGCTACTGAAATGGCTGTTGCAGTCAGACTAGGTCAACTCGCAAAGA